TTTGGACGCTCCTTATTCTCATTGTACAGGGTGTCAAAATCCGAGTTGACAAACAAGATGTTTTCTGGCTTGAGGTCAGTGTGAGTCAACTGGTTGTCATGTAAAACTGCACAGGGTGAAGAGGACAAAGAGAGAAAAATACCTGTGAGAACCATAGAGAAGCACCCACACAGCTCTGTCCAGCTGGCCAAGCCAGCTCCTCCTGAGCTCCCTTATTCTCATTGTACAGGGTGTCAAAATCCGAGTTGACAAACAAGATGTTTTCTGGCTTGAGGTCAGTGTGAGTCAACTGGTTGTCATGTAAAACTGCACAGGGTGAAGAGGACAAAGAGAGAAAAATACCTGTGAGAACCATAGAGAAGCACCCACACAGCTCTGTCCAGCTGGCCAAGCCAGCTCCTCCTGAGCTCCTTTGGGGAGCAGGGCTGGCCCTGGAGGACTTACATTTCAGGGCATGGCAGAGCTGGTAGGCCATGTGCCGGATCTGAGGGAGAGGGTATGGCTGGAAGTTGTTCTCCTTCAGGAACTCAAAGGTGTTCTTGCCCAGGAGCTCAAAGGCAATGCACATGTGGCCGTGGAAGTTGAACCAGTCTGACATCAGGACACACAGGCTGTGCAGGGAGACACATGAGGCTTCACCACCCGTCAGGGATCCACAAAAGAGTCATTCTCCCTCTTCCTGACCACTTCAGAAGTGGTTGGTGAGCAAAGCTCCAAACCAACTGACTCAGGAGCAATCCAGACACACCTTCTCCCTGCTTTGCTCAGCCACCTTTAACTAGAGATCCCCAATTCCAATGGGACAAGGAGGGATGAGACATCCCCTGCCACCCTCAGCCCTGTGTGTCCTTGGAGAGCACCCAGCAGACCAAAGGACATGGTACTGACCACCCAGGAGTCATGGAGGAACTTACAATTTGTTCTCCTTGTCCTTCTCCTTGATTTTTTTCAGGACATTGATCTCCAGCCTGGCTGCTTCCCGGTATTTTCCAACGTTTTTTATGATTTTCAGTGCCACCTGGGACTTGCCTCTGGAAGGGAAGGGACAGAAGGTTGGAGTCAGAAGGAAAGTCTGTGTCACACATGCTCCGCCCACAGGGACAGGGCACACCCCAGTTACTCCAGTCACATTTTCATGGGGCATTCCAGGGTCCCAACAAAACTCTGCTAAAGATTTCTGCTGCCTGAGCAGTAGTTCATTTGAAGCAAAAGGTTATTGCTGGGTAAAACTCCAAAGAGACATTCCCAACACAGCAGTCCCTAAGGTCACTGTGACTCCAGCAGCCACCTCCCCTCTCTCTCCAGCAATGCCAGAGATTCCTGAGGAGCAGGAGAGCCCAACAGCAACTCCAGCAAGCTGAGCCCGAGGCTCAGAGCCAGACAGGAGGTCAGGAAGGGACAGGGGTCAAGTGTAATCACAGCAGAGGTCAAAAAAGATAATGGAAGTGCCCTGGCAGATTAAGAGGTCACTGAGCCCAGCTCTCAGCAGGAGCTCACTGCAGCAGAACAACTTTCAACAGCTGGAGCTATGCCAGGGGGATTTAGATTGGATACTAGGGAAAGGCTCTTCCCCAGAGGGTGTCTGGGCACTGGAACAGCTCCACAGCGCAGTGGTCACAGCCCCAAGCCTGACAGAGCTCAAGGAGCATTTGGACAACACTCTCAGGCACATGGTGGGATTTTGGGGCTATCCTGTGCAGGGCCTGGAGTTGGACTGATGATCCTTGTGGGTCCCTTCCAGCTCAGGATATTCCAGGATTCTCTGAACCTGTGCCACTGAACAAACCTCACTGCTTCCCTTCACTATCAGCCTGCCAGTCTGGGGGGGCTGAGATATGAGCCAGGTCCCTTCCTATGTGCTCTAAGAAACAATTTCCACCACAGTCCCATGTGGGAGGTGACAAATTGAGATTCAGATTACGTATTAGGAAAAATGTTTTGCCTGTTAGGGTGTTCAGGCATTGGAATATTGCCCAGGGAGGTGGTGGAGTCACCAACCCTGGAAGTGGCTTCTGGATCTAATGCTGGAGGATATGGTTTACGGGTTACAGCAGTGACAGATTAATGGTTGGACTCAATGATTTTAGAGGGCTCCTCTCCAACCTTGATGGTTCTATGATTCTAAGTCTGGTCCTGTGGTAAAAAAATCACAGAGTTGGATCCTTGAGGATCATCTAGTCCAACTCCTGGTGTCACACTGGTGAGCAGCTGAGCTTGCTGCACCAGGGAAGGAGAGATACCCACCTGGCATGGTCCACACACTCCACCACTTTGCCAAAAGTGCCTTCCCCAAGGCTGCCAACAATTTCATCTAGGAGAGAAAACAGAAACCCCTGTGAACCTCAGGGGCTTGGCCAGAGCTGAGCTCCTGCAATTCACAGCAATAGCACATCAAAGCAAACAAAACAATGTCTCTCACTGCTACACTCGTTAAAACTCAAGTGTCTATACTCTGCCTTGTGCAAATTACTGGTCGGTAAACAAAGCACTAGAGACCCCTCCAGTACCAACCGAGAGATCTGCTCTAACCCAGGGATAAAAGTAGAGAGGTAAAGTTTTACGAGAGGTGACTGTACATCGCTCTTGAAGCCAATCGCCGATCCTGCACACCAGGTGACCTTCCTTGTCATCTTCCACGCTCCTGCTGCGCTTACTGCTCTGTTGGCTTCTCTGTGCACACCGCCCCCCGCCACGGCATTTTGAGTGGTCATTCAAAGGTGCAGAGACGACGGGTGCGCCGGCGGGTGGATTTTCCAGATCCCAGCATTTCATAAGGCACACAGCATATATAACGATAGGGATATTGCAAGGGACACGTCAAGACACAAACTAGCTTCAAAACAGAAAAGTCATCAACAGCTATAGGTATGGCAAGAAAACTCTCTCGTTAGCTACGGGAAATGCCTCTCTCTGCCGGGAAGGGAAGCAGCGGCTGGAAAGCTCCAGGGTGGAGGTGTGGGTTTGGTGTGGTACCACCAGTCCACTCAGAGGAGCAGCTCTCTCCCAGCACCAGAGGATGCTGCCAGAGGCATGAGGAGCAGCTCCCTCCTAGCACCTGAGGATGCTGCCAGAGGCATGAGGAGCAGCTCTCTCCCAGCACCAGAGGCACGAGGAGCAGCTCCCTCCTAGCACCAGAGGCACTGCCAGGAAGCTCCATTGTGAAGGTGACTTGGTGTGCCATCACCATTCCATACAGAGGAGCAGCTCCCTCCCAGCACCAGAGGATTCTGCCAAAGGCATAAGGAGCAGGAGGGCTTTGCCAGAAGAAGGTCATTTCTCCACTGGCAAGCGTGGTGAGCACTCAGTTTGCCCAGTAGAAGCCAGAGTAGCAGTTTTTCCTCTGTGTATCCTGCTCCTGGTACCTCAGATAAGCCAGCTCCAGATCCCCAGAGCTGTGTCTTGCCTCAGCTAGGAGCCAGCCCTTCCCTTCTAGGCAGAATCAAGTAGCACACAGGTCCTAAATCCACACACCCAACTGGCTGCACACACCTGGTGAGGCACATCGGCCCTGGGGGTTGCTTTTATACCTGGGAAACAGGTAAATTAATCCCCAGAGGACACTTCACTTCAGGCAAGGTCTGATGTCATTCACCCCCTGCTACTGCTAGCTTCTACTGGAAAACCAGCCAAAAAAAACTGCCCTAATTCCACAGCTGGTTCTAGTTGGCCTTAAAATAGTTACAATCTCCACAGCCAAAGAAATGAATGGAAAGCTCGATGTTTCCACGCCTGAGCTTCCAGCAGGCTTCTCTTCCTCACCCACCAGCTAGGCCAAATAGGGAGCTACAATGAAACCCCCCTGAAAAACTGAGCTGAGATGGAGGAGAAAGTGGACAGTTGGGACAGCTGTGAGGACTGAGCTGAGGCCAGCCCAAAGCCACCCAGCAGCACCACCACACATCCCCTGCTCTGCAGCGCTCTCTGCACAGCCTTGGCTCACTCTAATCCTCAAATTTCAGAGTCAACTGGAAAGAAAGAAAGGAAAAGGAGGAGTTGAGGCGTTCCCAGCCATGCAGGTTATCCACTAGGACTGCTGGGATCAGACTGGGTCATTTAGCTGTGATACCATTTCAAGTGAGAGGTGGGAGCATTCCGTACAGGACAGAAGTGATGCAGCGCTTGATCTGACACCTCACACCACTCCCAGGATACTCCCAGGACCAGCCTCCCCACCTAGCTCCAAATATTCCCTGCTAATCCTTGGAAGGAGTGCTATGTTCCAGGGTGAGGTTTGCAAAGAAGCTCAAAT